ATGGTTCGAAAACAAAGGGTTTCGTTCGAATAGGGGGTGATGATGCCCGCCTGCTCCCTGGAGCATTCTTAAAGGCCCTTATTTCAGCATCCAATTGTTTCACAATCTCTACTTCCTCGGAAATAGCCTTTTTGCAGTTCATCCATTTTGAACGAATTATGGCATCATCTAGAGTGCTCATGTGCCTGAGTAGAGAGAATATTAATGTACATAAGCAGAAGCAGTAATTAACAGTCAGGATCCCAAAACATTGGATTGTCTATTAGGATTTAGCAACTTTTGTTCCACATCGACAAGAAGAAAGAAATAAATTGTTGCACACATCATCATCAAACGAAAGGTTGAATGCAAGGATCTAAACAACATAATAGATTCTCACAAAACAGATAAAGTAGTGAGATGCACATATAAAATGTTTCTCTCACCAATCCACTGAACATCTTCACCTTAGATCTCTAGCTTACGGACTGATCATTTGATGTCCTTTTTAAACAAGGTTCCATGACTAACATGTTTGGTGCTTCCACAAGCCACGTTATAGGTACGTGCATAATTAGAGTGAAGAGAATGCTAAGGATTCAAAAACAAGTTACCAATAAACATTCAAATGAAGCTTAACTTTAATGGAATAAACCCACAACTAGTATCAGATTAACAACCATTTCAGAACAATTTCACAGAACCCTTAAATAAGGGTCAACCAGTTAGAAAAATCGAAATCATCTTAAACACATGGATCCCAGATCTCTTATTCACACAGTACAGTCACTCCAGAAGAACTGAATTTGTTCATAAAGACGGAACTGAATTAGTAAGACAGCATTTTATTTCATCAAAGATTCATATATTACTGGTTGGCAGTCACTCTATGCGAGAAATAAGTTATACTGCTACAGAAACGCGCAACATCTCATTCACACAAAATGATATACACATGCATTCTTCAAGATTCATTTATTTTCATGAAATAGTTCTTTTTCCTACTAGGTGAATGATTTGGGCAGTCCTAACACAGTCGTCAGAGATAAAAACCTGCAATTTATCTGTTTATTAACAGAAAGTGTTAACTTTACAGTTCCAATTAATCTTAAATCCCCTCAAACGAAACTACTTCAAACGTAAAGCAAGACAACATAATGTACTGACACCCGAGTAGCCAGTTGGAAAGAGATCTAAGCTTCAAACAAAATCGGAGCTGAAATCCAAACAAAAGCGTGGGGATTTATAAGTTACATCATCAGTTCACAGAAGAGTGTGCATGATGCGATCATTTAAGGATATGACTTCTTGTGATTCACTGATCATTAACATAATATAGGGAGCTTTGTCATTCTAGTGAGAACTAAGGGGTTTTACCCGATTCAACAAAAAAAAACCCTGCAATAACAAAAAGTGCGAACTTTACAGATTGAACCTTGGAAACTACTTCAGACTTAAATCAAGATACAAACAGGAACTCAAGAGCTCAGATCCGAGTAGCCAATCGAAAAGAGATCTGGTTTTCAAATAAAATTGAAGCCCAAATTCAAAGGAGAGGGGATTACAAATTACAGCACCACTTAACAAAGGGCTGAATGTAACGCAACAAATTCAGGTGATTCATTGATCATGGGGTTTCCTGAAACTTACCCAAAAAAACCTTGAATCATCTGTTTATTAACAAGAACTGCTAACTTTCAAGTTCCAACCACAAGCTAGGACCCAAGTAGCTCATTGAAAAGGGATCCAATTGCAATCAAAATCAAAGCTCAAACCGAACCGAAACAAAGGGGGGGGGAGGAATTACTTGTTGATCTGAGCAATGGCGCCATCGAAGAAGATGATGGAGGTGTCGTAGAGCCCCTCCATCGCGTACTCCCTCGCGAGCTTCAGGTGATCTTGGAGGCCGGTTAGGGCTCCCGCCATCGCCGCTAGGGTTTGTGAAGAGCTAGGGTTAGGGTTTCTAGGTTCTCTGGAGATCTCGGCCAAAGCTATTTGGGCTCGTCGGTGAGAGATTTTAGGTCGACTGCGGCGGATACGGGCTGCACACTGACGTTTAAACCTCCCGATCGGATGGAGCCCCGATATGACGAAAATAGCCCCATGACATCAATGACAAATTTGTCCTCGAGGCTAAATAGCAGCTAAATACCCACTTCCTTTGCACTTGTATACCCTCACTTGTTTTTTGCGGCACTTATATAGCGTAAGTTGTTTAAAATTGGCACGTGTGCGTCCTCTATTCTGCAAAGGTGAAAATTTTAACCTGGATATTCTAATATGACAGTCACATGCTAATCCATTCCAAATGTCGTATGAGAATATCTGTGTGGAGATTTTTTCCGTTTGCGTAACAGAGGATACTTATGGTTCTTTTTCCTCCTAGGTGAATGATTTGGGCAGTCCTAACACAGTCGTCAGAGATAAAAACCTGCAATTTATCTGTTTATTAACAGAAAGTGTTAACTTTACCATTCCAATTAATCTTAAATCCCCTCAAACAAAACTACTTCAAACGTAAAGCAAGACAACATAATGTACTGACACCCGAGTAGCCAGTTGGAAAGAGATCTAAGATTCAAACAAAATCGGAGCTGAAATCCAAACAAAAGCGTGGGGATTTATAAGTTACATCATCAGTTCACAGAAGAGTGTGCATGATGCGATCATTTAAGGATATGACTTCTTGTGATTCACTGATCATTAACATAATATAGGGAGCTTTGTCATTCTAGTGAGAACTAAGGGGTTTTACCCGATTCAACAAAAAAAAACCCTGCAATAACAAAAAGTGCGAACTTTACAGTTTGAAACTTGGAAACTACTTCAGACTTAAATCAAGATACAAACAGGAACTCAAGAGCTCAGATCCGAGTAGCCAATCGAAAAGAGATCTGGATTTCAAATAAAATTGAAGCCCAAATTCAAAGGAGAGGGGATTACAAATTACAGCACCACTTAACAAAGGGCTGAATATAACGCAACAAATTCAGGTGATTCATTGATCATGGGGTTTCCTGAAATTTACCCAAAAAAACCTTGAATCATCTGTTTATTAACAAGAACTGCTAACTTTCAAGTTCCAACCACAAGCTAGGACCCAAGTAGCTCATTGAAAAGGGATCCAATTGCAATCAAAATCAAAGCTCAAACCGAACCGAAACAAAGGGGGGGGGAGGAATTACTTGTTGATCTGAGCAATGGCGCCATCGAAGAAGATGATGGAGGTGTCGTAGAGCCCCTCCATCGCGTACTCCCTCGCGAGCTTCAGGTGATCTTGGAGGCCGGTTAGGGCTCCCGCCATCGCCGCTAGGGTTTGTGAAGAGCTAGGGTTAGGGTTTCTAGGTTCTCTGGAGATCTCGGCCAAAGTTATTTGAGCCCTCGTCGGTGAGAGATTTTAGGTCGACTGCGGCGGATACGGGCTGCACACTGACGTTTAAACCTCCCGATCGGATGGAGCCCCGATATGACGAAAATAACCCCATGGCCTTCATCAATGACAAATTTGTCCTCGAGGCTAAATAGCAGTTAAATACCCTATGGTTTCACTTCCTTTGCACTTGTATACCCTCACTTGTTTTTTGTCGTACTTATATAGCGTAAGTTGTTTAAAATTGGCACGTGTGCGACCTCTATTCTGCAAAGGTGAAAATTTTAACCTGGATATTCTAATATGGCAGTCACATGCTAATCCATTCCAAGTGTCGTATGAGAATATCTGTGTGGAGATTTTTTTTTCCGTTTGCGTAACAGGGGATACTAATGCGTCAAGTTTAAACAACTTCGAATATATGGATGACGTGAAAGTCAAGTGACGGTATATAAGTACAAACCGGATAAAGCTATAAGGTGTTTAAAGTTCTATTTAGCCTAATTTTAAGAGTTGTTTGGCGGCTGGCTAGTGCAAATTTATCCTCTCAACATTTCGGCTGTTCTAAATCACTTACGAAAAGGAAACAAAAGGAACAAGTTGAAATTTTCAATTGCCTACTCGTGGTTTTAGAATACCTTGCTCTTATGCATGATGTGCTTTTACGCATGACGTTCTGATAAGATTTATTGTTTGGTATGCTAGTATTGAAAATGCAGCATAAATGCAGCATGTTCCATAATTCGCTTCTGGCTTTTCCTTTTCAATTGCCTACTCGCAGATAGCTCCTGCATTATCACTGTTTTGAACTCACTATCCTCTGTTTTTATTTTTATAGAATACACTTTTTATCTTCCGATGAAAGGAAAAATCATTTTCCTGAGGGTAAAAGAGTCAAAAAAAATACACTCTACTTCTTTACGTAGAAAAACATCCAAAAAAATAAAAATAAAAACTACTCTAGTAGTAAGTTCAAAACAGCAATGCTACAGATTGTCCACAGTTAACCTTATAAAGAAAGAACATCGGCCATCAGCCATCTCTGCATCACCATGGTGAACGAGCACTCTGAAGAACAAAATCTCTGATGCATAACGAGGACTAAAAATTCATCTCAGTATGTGATTCAACAACAAAGAACGCACCCTCTGCAAAAAACGCAACACCAAAACAAAAACCCATCAAGGGAAAGGAACAAGGCATAGTGCATTAATGTTACACCTGCTAAACGCCGCAAACAAGTCGAGCAACCCATCAGTTTACAGAGAACGCAGAAAAATAGAAAGCACGTTCGACATAAATTAAGTTACAAAGTCATCTGAATCTAAACCTATGCTTTGCAAGTTCGACTATAGTGTCCTTTCACCTTACACTTGCTACATGTAACTGGTCTTTTAGCCTTCAACACAGACTCGGTAGCCTTCAGCTTCTTGAACTGTCCACCAGGACCACGACGTTGACGAACAGGAACCGCAACAATCCCATTAACCGCATCCCCTATCGGGTTTATCGACATGGCATAAGTTTCGCGGTAGCAGACCATAGTAAAATACTTCGAACATAAATCAGAAGCACACCGATCAGTTCTCTCAACAACAGCCAAAGCGTGCACACAAGGCAACCCTATCACTTGCCACCTCCGACACGTGCACTCCCACGTGTCAATATTGACAATGTCGGTTTTACCCTCATCGCGCACCTCAAAAATATTGTCAGTCGAGTGAACAACTTCTAGGGTTTGAGCTTTAATAATCTCTTCTTGAATTTTATCATTTGCCGATGGTGTCAGAATTGTCATCCATGCATTTGAATTCTCGCGACGAGTATATATCATTTCCATTATCTTGCACCTGATTATGTCCACTGCTTGTACTATTGATGGCTCGTTTCTGATAGATATCCAAGAATTGAATGTTCCTGAGGCTTCTGATGAGTATTTACCATACCTTAAACCTTTGAAGAAGGCATTTGACCAGTATTCAGGCTTAGAAGATAAAACCCGTTCAGCACTTTTTTCAGATTCAGCCTTCAATTTGTCAATGATTGCATTGAACTCGTCGACCTTGCAAGCATGGACAGCGCTTGCAAAATCTTCAACCGCTGTCTCCTTCAGTTCTTTTGTCAATGAATCGTCTAGCTCAGACTTGAACTCCTCAATGAGACTATTTACACAATAGCCATATATGCATCCAGGGAATATTTCAGCTAGTTTCTCCTCTAACTCATTCTGCCTTTTCAATACAAATGTTATAGTTCGAGATGTTCCCAGAACTGATTTCAATTGTAGCATAAACCACTGCCAATTCTCTTTACTATCATCTTCTATAACAGCAAATGCAACTGGGAAAACTTCATTCTCACCATCAACTCCTGTAGCAGCCAATATCTTCCATTGTCTTGCTGATTTAAGAGAGACGCTATCGAGAAAAAGGAGAGGGCGGCAACCATGCTCAAAACCATTAATCGAAGCTCGGAAGGAAATAAAAAGCCGACCTAATTTTGAATCCTCTACCTCTTCAAACACAGCAAAACTTCCAGGGTTCGTCTCCACCAACTTCTCACAAAACCATGGTAACTGATCCGATGCCTCTTCGTGCGAACCATGAAGCTCTTTCTTTGCAAGAGATTTCCCTCTCCAAGCTTGATAGTAACTCAAGTTAAGTCCATACTCTTTCTTGAAATCTTTTGCTATGTCCCTCGGGCTATAATCCGGAGTTTCGCGTAACTTGTCTTTTATAAGGCTAGCGATCCAACCCTGTGTCGCTAACTTATTATGTTCTCTGTTGCCCTCTCTTTCGCACGTGTGAGTGTCGTTAAATTTCTTGATCGTAAGCTCGTGCTTATTTGAATTCTTCGATGCGTATATACGCCAGGGGCATTCATCCTCCGCACAACGAACTGAGATGCGAGGACCCTCATTCTTGATGAATTTGTACATGAAATTTTTGGCAATGGCGTATTTTTTGAGTGCGTCACGAAAAGCTCTAGGGCTAGCAAATGCTTGCCCCACACCTGTGATACTGTTGTCCCAACTGTCGCATATACGCTTGGCACTCCCTTCACTGTATTCATTGATGGGGATGACATCAATAGGGACTGAATCAGCTAGCATACTCCTTGTTCTCCTACAAGAGAACATATATTTCATAAGATTTTTTTTTTTTAAAATATAGATTTCTCTATAGAAAATTGTGTTAGGAGGCACGAGATCGTCAGATGTTCTTTGGCACAAATTTTAAAGTTGATGGATAATAACTATCCAACTTTCAGTTTTTTACTGGGACATGTTGCAGTTCCTGCTTTTCTAACTAAGACATGTGCCTTTTGCTACAGGATTAATTGCGCATAGGCAGCCAAATTGAAACTACTACCCTGTAGTTCAATTGTTGATGCAGATAGGAGGCTCCCTGAGTGACATTTTTTTTACCCTTTTCATGGGATCTATGTGCAACAATATATTTTCACTCAGGGGTTCACAACAATAGAACTACAGGGGTGGTAAGTTCAATTTCCCGATAGTACATGGAGTCTATCCACAACTAAACCTTTTCAACAGAAGACCCTTGAAAGATTTTATTTTTATCCCCTTAGATTAAACACAAAACAGAGAGTTTCAGGGCAAATACCTCCTGTGAGTCGGGCTTGGGGTTGGGGTTGTAGTTGACGTTGGAACATCAGTCCTTTTTAAAAGATAAACATCCGTCGTCAAAGAATCTGAATGGAAGTCCACCATGCGACTCAAATCTTTGTCACTGGATATTGTGATGAGAGTTCGGCGGTTGCCTGGAAGGAAGTATTTGAATGTATACATACTCGCATCGCAGTGAAACAACTCGGATATCTCTGATAATAAACTATCAAAGGTCATATCGCTCTTAATATCAAATGCATGGGCATCTCCGCCACTATAAGACATAGATCCATCACTGTCCGTGGTAAATTGTCCACCCATCTGGAAAATAGCCAAAATCTTTCCCATTGTGATGATGAAGCACAATGCCCTGAGGTCAACAAGTCAATGCAGTTCAAAGGTAAGATCAAAGGGGAAAACTGTAATAGAAAAGGGTCGACCAGAAGCATGAATAATACCAACAATATAAAAATAAATGTAGAACATTTTGCTTCAAATCTACCAAGACATATTTGTTGGTGAAAATTGTTAAAACTAGGTCTTGAATTAGGATCAGTGGGTGAGATCTAAAGCTAAGGTAAAGTTGAAGTCAACTTGTGAAAAAGAATAGCAAAGCATAAACATGAATATACTATGCAGGCTTGCAACAGAAGCTAGACAAGGGGAATCTACACCCATTACTAAGAATGGTCTCTCGCTATACGAAAGTAAACCACTACTGAATCCAAATCCCTAATATACAAAAACACTGTTGACCATAAGTTCATAACGCAACACCACAAGTGAGGCACTCAGGGTTTCAAAATACTCAGACGTCTGAAGACCACAATCTAGTGGCATTGCATGCGTGAGACAAGAAAATTTGTGAAATCGCGACGTGTCAACATTACAAAAGGAATCAATGCGTCTTGTGGGTTCACTCCAGATGCCACCTAGTCCATATCATCTTTGCTAAAGTCAATTGGGTGAAAGATGAGATAACACAAACATGTCATGTGCAGTGCTAAGGCTTAGAAAGTGGTCTATATCATCTTTGCTTGAGTTATCTTGTTCTTCTTATCTGTTTGAATGGTAGCATTCCAATTCTTACCCTAGTGAGGTGCTTCTGGTTCCTACTAGTTGGTTAGCCTAGCGGATTGACCGAACAAGAGTGTGTCCCACCTTATGGTACTTTGAGGGGGAAAAATAAAACATAAGCTTGCAATAGAGTTGCCTAGTAGGTTGCTACATTGGGGTGCGTGAAGTTTCTCCTGCACTTGTGAATTCATCACAAATGCAGAGATTGGATCAATTCATGATCTAGTGATCCATCGTCAGAGTATGTGAGCAACTCATTTCCTTTCTTCAAGTAAGTGTTCTAGCTAATTAATTACTTTCTTCAAATAATGAGTTTGCACACTTACTTGAAGAAAGAAACAGAGTTGCTCAGTTACTTGAAGAAAAGAAAATGAATTACTAGATTATGAGTTGACTAAATCTTTGCATTTATTATTAATAGACTAGTGTAAGAGACTTCACCACCTGTATCTCTTGGTAGCCCATTTTGCTAAATGAGGTGCCACCTCTTAACCATCAAACTTACGGACACACACATTGTGTAGCAAGATTATATGGTGGTTTATGTGGCTGTTGATCGATTGACAAAACATTCCCACTTTGCAGTCAATCATATATACTGCAACAATGGTAAATGGTGTTGTTCCTTAAGTAAGTTTTTAGACTATATGGCTACCAGTCATGATTCTAAGTGATAGTGACCCTGTGTTTACCAGCCAAATGCGGAGAGATGTCCTTCATCTCAAGGTAAAAGGCCAAGAATGAGTCTGACTCTATCGACCTCAAAGTTGATGGAAAAACCAGGGCAGTAAACAAGCCATTAGAGTCTTTGTTGTTTGAAATATTGAGAATGGAGCGAATGATGAGTTAAGTAAAAGACCAGTACAGTACCACTTGGCACACCTCCATTACAAGGCTTTATTCAAGGCGTTGTACATGAGAAAACCCCTACACTCCTATCTTATATTCAACGAGATGTGACAAGTGCAATTAATTGAAGAAACATTGTTAAGTAGGGGTGAGGTTCCGAAGCTTCTCAGAGGTAACTTAGGCAGGGCTCGAGCAATAATGAAGAAGTTCACAAATGCGCATCTGAGCGATCATGAGTTCAGCAATGGGGACAGTACCGTCCGTTCGCAAACTTATTCGCAGCATGCAGTGAGCTACCAGGAAACTCGGAATGAGATTTTATGAGAGTATATTTATAAATGTATTAGTGACGTAATTCGGATTGAGAACTTTATTAATCAAAGCCCTCTTCTCCTCCATCATTATTCTTCTGAAAAAATTTTGATTCCAACTGCTTTTTAGTCTCAAGAGATTCCAAACAGTGTCCTTGGCTATACTTCGCAATAAGTCGACAGAACAAATTTGACAGATGTAAAGATGCAAGTTTTCAGGCTAAAAACGTCACTTTTTTTGCATAATCTCTCAACAAAACTACAACAATCAATCTGATAGACAATAAAGCGAGCGCGCACCCGAGAGAGAGAGAGAGAGAGAGAGAGAGAGAGAGAGAGAGAGAGAGAGAGGGTACAACTACAACAATCAATCTGATAGACAATAAAGCGAGCGAGAGAGAGAGAGAGAGAGAGAGAGAGAGAGAGAGAGAGAGAGAGATGGTAACAGTGTTCTTTGCTATATTTTGCATAAGTAAACAGTGCAAAAATTCTGAGAAAAAGGATTTTTTTTCCCTATATTTAGACGTAAAGATGCAAAAAATATAAACTAAAAACGTCGCCTTTTTTTGCAAAATCTCTCAATAAAACTGCAAAAATCCTGGGACAATCAAGCGAGGGAAAGAAAGGTAACCTGGGAGGTGAAACCCACGACGGCGGTGGCGCTGCCTTGAGATCGCCGGAGAAATTAGGGCGAGGGAGCCCTAGCTAGGGTTCGGGGTTTGGGGGAAAACGAGGAAGGGCAGAGGATGAAAGATTTTAGATTTTACTTTCGCGAGAGGACCTCGAAAGTCTAAGGGTTCGATTGAAAAATGTAAGAAGAGGGCCTATTTGCACTTTGTCCTTTCTCCAATTCCGTGCGGACTTGTCACTGTCGATAAAATAAATGATTGGGCCTGAACTCTGGGCCTCACTACCTGGTTAAATTGTCGGTCTACCAAGAGTATATATATATATATAATGGTATTTTAAAGAACTCATCTTTCAGATAAGACCATTCTATAGAAATTATTTTTTTATTTTAAATTTTTACATAAACTATTTTAAAGAACTTTTTGCAGCTATCAACTACCTGGACCATTTTTTAATTAATATTTTAGATAGTTGATCCCATCAAACCTCAATTAAGGATCATCCCTAATATACTAGTTACTATCAAGCTATCAACTACATGCAATCCATCTTAAATAATTGTAAAAACCGTGCAAAACAATTATTTAAGATGGATTGCATGTAAATTGACAATCAAATGTGGTTTCTGCAAATAATTTTATTTTAAAGGTGGTTTCTATGAAAAACCCTAATTATAATTATATAAGCAGTCTATTGAAAAAATTAGGGTAAATTTTGCAAAACCACCTTTAAGTTCGAACATGAAAAATACCATTCAGCACCCTTAAGTTTGGATATTTTGGAGAAATCCCTAGATCTGTTTAAAACTTTCAACTAATCCCCCTAAATTACTCTTGCAAAATTAACATCCTCGCTATTAAATTAAAATAATCATTGATTAAATCAAATAAATCTTTTAATTGAACCAAACTAAGAGTGTATGTGAAAATTTAACTCTAAACTAAAAAGGACATGTAAGGATTTCTTTAATCAACAAATCATTTTAAAAGGGGAAAATTGCTATTAAGCTTCAATTTCATAAAGAGAATATGAAATGCCAACCTCCATTAAAATATCCCACAAACTAATAGTGTATTTGGAAGAGCTTTTGAATTGAGTTTTTTAAACTTGTTAGATTGGTTGAATTGAGTTGTACTAAAACCTATATATCATCAAATTTATATGAAAGGATCTTTTTAGATCAACAAAACAGAAGATGATTTAATTGATAAACTTGTATTTGCTCATATGTGGTACTTAGCTCCCCCAGTTGAACAATCATGGACTCGTACCTAACAGAGGGGTTATCTCCTAATCTATTTCAATAAGTTAGATTTGCAAACCCTTCATTTTGAGGAATTAATTTCGTAAAAGCTTCAACTTTTGTGTGTTGAGATAAATGAATCTTAGAGGGCTTTTATGGAAAGATATCATCAAATGATTGGATTCCATGGATAAAAATTAAAATGTGTTTAATTAGTAGTACGTGAGTTTTAATCCCACATTGGCTAATTAAATGCATTTTTGTTGGTTTAAATTAACACACGTGTTATTTATGGTATAACAAAGGTGTTAGTATTATACACTTGTGTTGGTATATAAGCGATCATGCGAGAAAACGAGCGGGCGCGTGCGGTCCGGGTGTAGGCGCGTGCTGAGCTTTAAACCAGGTTAAACGTTGTAATAACTGAAATTTAAATCTTTGTCTCCCCTGAACCTTATAAAAGGGCTTCTTCTGATCATTTGAAAGACAGAAAACGAAATCTCATGTGTTCTTCTTCTTCCAATAATTCTATAAGTTGTTTAGTATTGGAGATGTGCAGATTCAATGCTATCGTAGGTGGGGCATAGTTTCTTCAAGGCCAGTCCTCTGTTAAGAGGGCGATTCGGCACTTCTGTAAAGTATTTTCGAACTTGAAGTGTTTTAATATAATGTTTCTAATTTTCTGTACTTTTCTTTCATTCATGTATGGTTTGTTCTATAATACTTTGGATCTGTTTTTATGCTTGTTTTTCCCAACATTGTGTTTGGAAATTTATGAAAGGTCAATTTAGTTTACATCATGTGCAATTTTTTGAGTTTGGCAGACTAAGAAGGGATTAACTCTCCTTAACCTCTCATGATAATTATATTTTTATTATATTTTTATACCCTCATTATCTATTTTGTTTAAATAAAAATATTACTAATAAACATGTTTTATCTTAATTTGTAAGTTAATGAAGAATTAATGACTAAAAGCTATAAAAGAACTCAAATTTTCCTTAATTTTTAACCTTTTATTGAAACCCAGGATCAAGCCAAGCAATCTACAGAATCCGAAGAAATAAGGAAATCAAGTTAAAATTATGTTCAAGATGATTAGCCACAAAGAAATAACAATATCTCTCAATCCGGAAGGTGAAATTTAATATATAATATATGAAAATTACCTATCTCGACGAGACAGAGTAACTGTATTTTTAGAATTTTAGAATTCTAATAGGTTGATTAACTGATTGGTCAATCGATTGACCGACCAATTAGTTCGTAACAAACTTGTTTTATGGCTAATATTTAATCCTTGGAGTCCAAGTAAAATCTAATGGTTCTTGTTGCTTGCTGTAGGCTATAAATAAGGGTAGAGGGTGAGGGGTTTGAGTGTGAAAATTTTTGTAATAACTCTATTTGGAGAGGAGAGTTACTCTTAATTGAGAAGACATTCTAAAATAATAACTTTATTACAATTAATAAAAGAATTTTTTTTTACCTCTTCATATTTTTTTTCTTCTCTTTGTTTGATGATGAAGATGAAGATGAAGATGAAGGTTTGCTTTCAAGATATTAGAACCCTCTTGCAATATAAATTTTTTATCTTTTATTTTCTTGTAATATTTTTTCCTTGCTTTAGCTATTCAAGGGGCTAGAACCCACTTGTTTTAGATTTATTTTGATGCATTATAGAGTAGATCTACTTTCATATCTTTATTTTTATAGTATAGATTTTTTGTATAGTTTAGACTTTATTTTCTTGCATTATTTTCAAGAGGCTAGAACCCTCTTTATAACTAATTTTATTCATTCTTTTCATTTTATTCTCTAAGAGGACGAAACCCTCTTGGGAATTAGTTTTTATTTTCATTCTTTTTCTTTTATATTCTAAGAGGCTAGAATTCTCTTGGTAATTTTTTTATTTTTATTCTCTTCCTTTTATTCTCTCTAGTGTAGATTTTATTTCTTTGTTTTTGTTTTCTAAGATGTGGAAGTAATTTTTGTAGGAATTCTAGAATTGTATGAAACTAGTTTGATTTCTTTTATAATTTATAAATTATTCTCTTGTATTTAAAATGATCATACTTAGGATAATCCACTAGAGAACTAATTGGTAGAAGAAGAATTTAATAATCTATATTTATCTTAAGTGGTTTGATAGGTTATGCTTATGATTTCTAGAATTATTATCAAGTTATTATTCTTTTCATGAATGTTAATTTTACTTTGATGATAATTTAATAGGTTATGCTTTCGTAAGTAGTTTGATAGTCTATGCTCAATAAATTTAAAGTAAAATGTGATAAAAAGAGAATAGTTCATAATCTCTAAGTGAAATTGGTTAGTGAATTCAATTCTAGATTCCTCAAATCTCTAGTTGAATCTTCATATTTTACTTTCTTGATTTTCCTCTTTATTTGTTTCTTGATTTTATTTTTCTTTATTTTCTTCATCTTTCTTTCTCCCCTCTCAATCTAATTTTGCTTTATTTATATATTATCACACCCACTCTCTTTATCTCTCCACAACCACTTTCATCACTCCTAAATTATCACACACACAACCTAGAAAACTAATTTTGATTAATTTTTACAACACCTTCCACATGGAATTAGATAATATTTTATATTATAACTTGATAGTTGTGTACTTGCAACTTTGGTTATTATTTAAACCCCCTACCCTTCACTTAACCCTCTACCAATTAGGGCTTAAGAATTTAGGAGGATTGAAGCGATTTGTTGTTGGGATTGTTGAAAATGTTCATTTGGTGTTGGACATTTGATTTATTTTTGCTTGGATTATTTGATTTTTGTTTCTATAAAAAACATTTTTTTTCTTCAAAACCTTTCATGTTCTTTACATGCAAACCGTTCTATTGGTCAAACTGGATTCTAAACCATGACAAACATTTTCTCGTTTAGGGCGTGTTTGTTTGCACGAAAATCACCGTGAAATAGCAGAAGTAGAGGAAGTAGAGGCTACTCCTCTACTTCTGCTACTCCTAGGCAAAAATGTATGTTTGTTTCTCTTGAAAATCAACTTCCGCTACTTTCTTAAATAATGATGTGGTGTCTATGTGGAATCTCCGTTTCCTAGATTCTTTTCCACCCCTCAAGACTCTGAAATAGGTCTGAAGTAGATAAAAGAATACATGCGGGCTCCACATGAAGATTTGTAACATGTGTAAAATTAGGGATCTAATAACTGCTCCTATGTCTCGATATGCAACCTCTCGACACTATAAAAAAGTTACATGTTAATTTTAGATTCAAGGTCTTCTTAATCCAATCACATGGGCTCCTCTTTTATACATGTGAACATGAGCTGTGTATAGATACAAATCATGACAAGAAATTGGTTTTGTTTTGTATATCCCAACATTTTTTGAGCTAATTTTTTTAGTTCTCATTCCTATATGATTTATCAGATGTTCTAATGTGATCCTTGATATATGTGCACAGATTTTTTTTCTTGCAGAATAATTTGAGATATATCAGCAACAAGTTTAGTATTATTCTCATGTTTTTTCTATATAGTATAATTTGAGATGATAAACTTTATAATTTTAGAAGTTACCTCTTAGATCTACCTCTTATTCTAATACTTCCAACTATCCAAATGGGCCCTAAAATGGAAACAACATGTATTAATTACTTCCTAGTAATATTTTCAAAGATTATCCAAACAAAAAAAGTAAATGAAAAAGAAGAAGTTTTACTTCCATTACATCTAAAAATATATGAAACAAATAAAAAAAATGTTATTTCCGCTACTTCCTATTTCATAGTTTTGAAAGTTACTTCTATAACCTACTTCTTACTTCCAATACTTCCATTATTCAAACGAGCCCTTAGTTTCCTATCCATCGTTGAAAGTCGTGCAATATTTTTGAACAAAATTGGGTTGCGTACTACTAGCT